AACGGAGCTCCGGTGATGGATAGGTGAAAACCGGATTGATAGTGGGGATGAGGGAGTAGAAATGGATGGGACAGCAACAACCTGGGTTCAAAGAAAGGATATTCGGGGGGCCAATCTGGTCTCTGTCCCGGGGCTGTAAATTAAGTCTCTGTAAGATGTAACGGGTTTCAGAGACAAGTCTTTTCAGGGGAACAAAAAAAGAGGCGATTCAGTGTGAAATGTCGTCGAATCTCTGCAGCAGTCGATGAATTTTACCACCTGATGATGAAGGCTACACGTGTGGCTCTAAATCTGGAGAGCAGGAGGAATTGTTGTAGTCCCAGTAGGTTGTTTTCTTAATGCACCCCAAAAATATTTGAATGATGGGTACACGACGTTTCCTTATTGTAGGCAAAACTGCTTTCTTTCATAAGTAATTAAAGCGAACGATTAAAGCGTATTTAAATATATTTATTCTTCGTAGTTTCATGTTTTATTTTTAGAGCTTAGTTTACTAACCTACTCCTATATTGCGTAGACATTTATATAAATGTAATTGTTAATTGTCATTAATTAAATGGTGACATTCGCTTAGCTCAAGCTAAAAAAAAATCACACGACAATGTAAGTATGATTTAAGTGGAAAATATTAATTACACGATCTCAGATTTGACTATGATATTTGAGAAAGTCATTTGGTTTTTCAAATTAAAACAATAAGGTTATATTTATCGTATGTGAAGTTTAATTTGATATAATTCGATTAAGAAAATGAAGAATGATAAAAAATTAGCTTTATCATTATAAACGAAACTATGAGAAAAGACAAAGTTGCAAACAAGACTACAAATACTTCTTGAAATGTGCAACTATATAAAGTGGTAAATGACAGTTTCGTAATTATCAATTTGAAAGAGTTTATGGAACTTAATATGATTTTATCTCCATATATGATTAATTATTTTATTGGAGTACCTTACTGAATGTAACAATTGATGTCTTTTTAAATTCATCATGTTATTGTAGATGTGAGACCAAATAAATGATCAAAATGATTTTACCACTATTCTTTTTTGTGTTGGATAAAAGGTATTGTTGAATTGTATAGTGTTCTTTCGCTTTGAAGCTTCTTTCCAATATATGTCTGCCTTTGAAACATAAACATTTTTCTTTATATAAAAATGCACATTTTAGTAAAAATTATCGACAGCACATTTTTCTGGTCTTTAAAATGCAATGAACTACTGAATACATTATCATTCCTGATGGAACAATTATGATTTAATTATCACATCAGGAATGATCATAGAAAAAGAGACAGGCAACAATGCATGAAGCCACAGAGGAATATTTTTAGTTTTATATATTGAACTATATTCTTGTGTGCGTCTGACATGTTAATTCGTTTCAAAAAGACGATTAGTTGTATAATATACATGGGTTTATTATGCACGAATAAACTGGAAGTAAAACATGAAATCCGCTAACAAATTTGACAAAGCCAACCGAAGTTAAGACTCACCGGAGCCTTTTAACACTCAGAGCAACAATTACGTGCCGCTGTCCGTTAAGACAAGGTGCTGAAAACCCATTTCTTGATTCGTTTACTGTCGCCAAAGAATCAACGAAGAACAAAAACTATAATATTATTATAGTCGCATTATTATTAGTAGTACAATAATAATAGTAGTATGACTACGTATTACAATACGTAAAAGCATTAACGAGATCATCCCTACTTTACATTTGAAATTCTATTCTATGTATTTATATGTTACTTTTACCCAACAAATGTGTTACAATTATCAAGAATTCAGAAACAAGAATTCAGAAACACACCAAAAATGTAAAAGCTACGTATAAGAAATGTAAAATGTAAAAGGTAAGGCGCAGGTATTCGGCCAAACACTCGCACAAATACCCGTTTTAGCTGCAATTATAATATTTTCTAAGGTAAAATCCCATGATGTGTTGTACAGGAAACAGCTCATATTAAAATATTTCTGTTATGGGCTCTTTTTAAAAAGTAAAAAATCGAGTGCTTTTTTTTATTTAAATGAACGATAAATGGTACCACCGAGACTCCTACCAGTCTTTAATGCAGTAGCCTACTTATTAGCTGTCATATCGCTTCCAGCCTTGTGCATCTGCGTTTTAGTGTGACAGAGAAGCGAGACGACACCAATAACTGCCCATGCTCTTACTTCAAGCATTTCATAAACAGCAATACGCTACTCAGCGTGACACACACCCGGCGGAGCATTTACTTTCAAGCTCTCAGACGCAAGACACAAGCGAACTTAGTCGCGGCCATTCAAGCTTACACACGTTACCGTGTATATTATTCATCACCGGTTTAGCAGACGCCCTTACCTAGGGCGAATTACATATATCATATACAGAAATGTGTTCAATTACAAACACAATCACTCACACTGACAAGTCATTAATTTTAATTACAGTTACCCTACCAGTCAGTCCTTCTTTCAATTGGTCTTACAGTAGAAATTAACTACGAGTTACAGTAGTTCATACAAATATCTGTGTATATATATTTCATGCCAATATGTAGGACCATATATTTGGTAATACATGGTCCTACATATAGGTATATATGCTGTACAAGGGGGCATACAAGGAGATTTTTTTTATTCTGCAACCTATTTGTTCTCGAGTTATTTTAGTGAACCATGACAAACCTGCTGGAAGCAGCCTCTTTCAAATCTGGTTAAGGTACAGGACCTCTTGTGGCATTATAAGCAACAAAAAATACAAAAAGCAGTGGCCGGGCTCGGACAATTAAAGGGTCCGCTTAAGACAAGGTGCTTTCTCTCAGACGCTCAGCACGTTGCCTTCGGCTGGTGGAACAGGAGCCTAATTCAATTAAGAAAGGAAAGCGGATATAATCAGGAAAGTGACATAAAATAGAAGATAGTCTTTCTTACCTATGCTATAAGCCATGAGATAGTAATAATTCAGCACACACTGAAACACGATTATTATTATTATTATTATTATTTTTGTTATTATTCAACACCTGTTAAATCTAACTCCGCGTGTCACTTCATTCAAATCCGATGTTTTTCAGTTCCCCTTACCAGACTTAGTACAAAATACATCTGTTAAACTCGGTTATGGGAAATTGGACTTTTAAGGTTTCAGATCATAGTTCACTATCATGAGCTATTTAATGTCTTCGTGCTTCAAACACAGTCCTGATAGGTATACATTACCCGGAACCTTCAGTGAAGACTTGTATCCAGCAGGCTTCACATAACAAGTGATTTGACTAACGCCGAAATACATCAAACTAGTAATCTTAAAACGCATCTGAAAGTTATGTTTTTTCATGTAAAACGAGCCTACGAGCCTTTGACTTGATGCTACCTTTGAGCAACCACTGTGGCAGAGAAAAATAATTCTGCAAAAGTGACAAATATAAACAGAACTGTCACAGAGCACAAATCAAAACAGGAAAAAGGTGATGCAAAAATAGCGAGTCCTTTAAGAGACACAGACCACATAAAGCACCATACGTCTTGTCTTAAAAATACTGAATATTTAATGCTATGAATATCGCAAGCGTATTTTTTTGAAGTACAAGATAAATATGGAAAGATGTCGAATTATATTTTGGTCTACAGTACATTTGAATCTTATTTTGATGCAGTCCGTATCTATTACTCTTTACCAAGCGCTGCCCCATTCTGGAGTAATTGTTATAATTATTATGAAAAAATATTCTACGAAATTAATTTCCAAAAGCACACATACTGTGTAATATTGGACAGCAATGTATTGACTCCACTTTTATCATTACAGACTCCGTGGATTTCTCCGTTTGAATACTAAAATATTCAAACGACCACATCAGTTGCTTTACAACTGTATTGCTAAATTATAGTAAAGTTTCAGAGGACAGCAAGGGGACGACAAACCACAAATTTGATCGATTTTTAACTAGAATTTAATTAAATTGGGATTTCATAAAAGCGTAAACCCATACTCGTCATAGAACAAAATTATAGGAGTGATGGTATGAAAACAGTTCACTGGTCAAACAATCATAATGTGATAAGAGACTCCTCGGGCAGCTCAATTCGCTTCATTTACAACGTTAAAATGTCATTAAATAGTTTTAAGTACTGCTCGAACCAATGAAATATAGATGAACGCCGGCAATTAATTTCAAGTAAAACAATATCAAGTATTTACCTCCTTAATTAATTTCACACATGAAAGTCAATATTTTCTTCCTGAATTAAAAGCCTTTAATTTAATCCCATAAGTTAAATTGTTAACACAGAGCACTGGGAAATCAGTGGACTATATACTGTAGCTTCTGGCATCGAGGCTTACTTCATCTTTGTTTCTTAAGGTTACCTATCATTCGCTATTTTAGCGTGTTTCATCAGTCTTTGCCGTTTGTAATATTTAATAACCCTTGCTATGAAGGGAAATGCCACCACTTTGCTTAGAAATATCACTACATAGCCGTAGATGTTGTCCTATCATAAAAACGAAATAATACATTCACAACGCTGTCCTATAAACGTTTTGAAATTTAAGGCAAGGGAGTAGTTCTTCCCACTTCAAAATGTTACCTGAGAGATCAAATTTGCTCGGAATCACAGCTGATGACACTGCACTACCATCTAAAACAATTGGCCAGCGCCAGGGGAGTTTACAAATGTGACTTTCACGGAATAACATTCTGTTTCATATGGTCAAATCGGATGATTTTTAAAAATATATAATGTTGTGTATCGATACTGGAAATGAAAAGCTGCAGCAAAACAGTTTTAACATAAAACTGGCTGTCGACAAAAAGCTAAAGAAAATCTATAAGAAGGGCTAAACACTAAAACGTCTCTAACTCCAGACACTGCTAAACGTATTATAATAGTAGTATACATAATCTTTATACCAGCTTCCGAGAAAGGGTTAATTGTGAATTAGTAATGCATGAGAAGTGGGAGGGAGCTGTCCACTAGTAATGCCCCCAATAGACTGGGGAGATATTGTCATGTAAAGAGACCACCGCCTCGCCATTGTCTGCAAAGACTGCCAAGTTTAATATAAACACCACTAGCTGCACAGGCGGAGCAGTGCGCTGTCAAAGAGAGCTCAAGATAGCGGAGACAGTCAGGGAGCAGAAAACGAGGAAAGTGGGTGCGTGCGAGGGAGATAAAAAGAGAGGGAGAGAGAGGGCGCAAGCTGTCAGAACCGAGAAACTGCAACATTTGGACTGCACTCAAGACGTCTCATTCCGACGGTGCGCCACACAAGAAAAGTTGGACTATCCTTTTTATGCCGCGAATTCGCCCGGTTCTTGCCCTTTCCCCATTTGTTGCCAGAACTCGCACTCGCCGGTAAAACTCGCTCGCCAGAGTCTGCTGTGCTGCCTCTCATGTACAAAATGGATTACTCTTACCTGAACACCTACGACTCTTGCATGGCAGCGATGGAAGCCTCGGCCTATGCGGATTTCAACTCCTGCAGCCAAACCAACACTTTCCAGTACAACCCCATCCGGACCAGCTTCGGCGCCAACCCGGGCTGCCCTCCCCTCAGCACCGCCAGCTGCACGCTGGGTGCCTTGAGAGACCACCAGCCCGCTCCTTACTCCACAGGTAAATTTGTCTGTATCATATCTGCTCGCCGCCACAGGCTACAGCAGATAACAAGTATTTTAAACAGGGGTAACCTAATCAAGTCGTATAGCATTATGTATAGAATTATTCTTATACACCTGAAGAAGGCTCCACAGACGAAACGTTATGGTGCTCTTCTTCTCTTTTCAGCATGGAATAAACCTTTGCTTGTTCCTTTGCATCCTATGCATGATGACGCAGCTACCTGCTTGAACATCATTATTTTTATATACTTTATACATCATGTAAACTCAGAACTGTAGAAATATTTTATTATATCTTAAAGAATGCATGACCAAAAGGCCATGTTAAATCGACTAATAAATGAAAACGTTGTAATTGAGGGATATTTAATGGAAAAGATGAAAGGATATTCGTGATTTCTTAATTCGATCACGGAAACGTGATTAGAGCAGCTAAGAATTAGCCGGAAAGAGTTTAGTGTAACAGGGCTTATGAACATACATTTTCCTCACAGAATTGAAGAATTCAACACCCACTGGAGTGTAATGAAAGAAAAGGTGATTATATTTATCTTGAGTGAAGTGTACCCTTCAACGGATAGGTGAACGGGGCACGTGACCTTTGCAGATTAAATGTACTTGTAAATGTCCGGCTTTTAAAAACCTAATATTTCTGATTGTTCGCAAATTCTTAAACCATTTTCTAATATATACAAAATAGTGATTTAAAAGTGTTAATGATCATATAACATATGATGAAAAACGTATTTTCTTGGGCTAAACTAAATCGTATTTAAAAATCACCCAATAAGTATATTCATGTTCCTCTAATACAATATAAAAACTCAAGAATCCATAAATAAATAATGTTAAAATCCACTATATCAGTGCTTTCAATTATCAAAACAGTTTTGAGGTAAAAGCAACACAACATCACATTAAAAGTTTTTTTCAGTGCAAGTGATGTGTTGACTTCACAAAAGGCATTCACAAAGGTTAAGAACAGAAGTGTTAAATTCGACACAAAATTGATATTCTCAACGCAATTTAGGTGTTACACTTCAATAAAGCTTTTCTCCATTAAATTATTATTATTTACAGACGCAATGCGGATCTGAAGTTGCAAAGTTGAAACTGGGGCGTGTAACGCCCAATACAATTCTGCAATGGACGTTGATTCATTGTTTTTCAGTTTAAATCTTTTCTGCAATGTATTTTTACTATTAGGCTTTAATACGAGGTTTCTGGAGGGTATGAAAGAAGTATATTACAGTACTATACTTCAATATGGAAATGAATAATGTTGCTGTAGGAGCCGGGGGTACATTCCTGCAAATGTTTACCGAAAACTCCCATTACCAGCTCATTCCAAACAAATTAACTAGTTCTTGTTTAAATGTTGTATATTCTGTCACCGACCGCATGGTCAAAATAGCCTTTCATATCGAAATTATAAGCAATACTACAAAACTACAAACAGGTAAGCCTTCACGTCTGACTCTACACCTACAGTCCTTCAGGCCTATTGAGGAACTTAGCATTGAAGCAGTGGTCCCTCGGCGTCTGCAATTTTTCAATGGAATGTTATTTTTGCATAAAATAATTACTTCTGAAGAGAAAATGTGAACAACGTGGTGAAAACGGCGTCGGTACAATACCACAGAGGCGCCTAGACAGAAGTCCAAATGCTGACTGTTGCATTCGCACTGTAATTCGGGGGAGAAAAACTTCACAAATTCGATGACTTGCACCATTTTCTGTTCTTGAATGTAAAAAAAGCATATGTCTTTTCATTGAATTGTAAGACGTTTTATTGTAGGCCGACGGCAAGATAACGAGTGTTCAAACTGGTATACAATAGTTGGCAATGTTGCAGTGCTCTGAGAGCGGTCGTGACCAACAACTATTCTTAATCTAGAGAAAGCGACATTTTACCGTACATTCCGGTTTGAATAAGGAGATCGTCTACAGTATAACCAAGGATGAGAGGAAAACACTACGTTTAAATACAAGTCTTGTGATGCACATACCAATGTAGACGCATACACTCTACCAGTACTGTTAAGCAATTTATACTAACACAGTGAAAAGAAAATTCAGTAGATGGAAAGAGTAAAAAAAACCGACATTTTACAAACATTACAAACACCACTAAAAATTCCATAATTATAATTGAAAATAGGATGCCAGTAGCTATCGATCCTTTTCATGTTGCTATGTTTTTACATATGAGGAATGGTAGTATTTTAAGATTGTTTGACAAGTTTCGTCCAAGGTTGTGTTCAGTTAGCAGTAGACTGCCACACCAGTGTCACAAGGGCTCGACAGGATGGCTGAGTCGGTGGGCTGACTTCAGGGTTCACCAGCCGACGGTGTGTACATGTTCAACATACAGTCGCGGCAAGCGCTGTGTCGTTTTTTAATTGGGTGCATTGTTTTAATCCATGCAACATTCTTTTTTTCTCCCCAGTGCCCTACAAATTCTTTTCGGACCCTTCGGGGCTGAACGAGAAGCGCAAACAGAGACGCATCCGCACGACCTTCACCAGCTCGCAGCTGAAAGAGCTGGAGAGAGTGTTCGCGGAGACTCACTACCCCGACATCTACACCAGGGAAGAACTGGCTCTGAAAATCGACCTCACTGAAGCTCGAGTCCAGGTGAGGGGCAAATTCCGCAGTAAACCCACCTGTGCAGACCCAGGATTTCATGGATTTAGTAAAGTACGTAGTGAATAACTTCTAAACTGCACGATTAAAGGTAGCGAGAGCTCACTGGTTTACCGAGACGTGTACCTGTTTCCATTTGTGCCCTTCATTTTATATATTTTAAGTGTAAAAAAAACTTTTATGACGCAACAACATTCCTGAATTGTGGAGCAGGTGCACCTTGTAATATGTGATGGGAACAAATGACGGTGAAAGACCTAGAAACCGTTGCTGAATTGTGCAGAGCAAAGGAGAAAAGCAGTGTGAGGACTGCGCAAATACCGCACTGATGGCTCACTTTGCGTTTCCTCGTTTCTGCAGGTTTGGTTCCAGAACAGACGAGCCAAGTTCCGCAAACAGGAGCGGGCCGCCAACTCGAAAGGAAACGGCGGCGCGGCTGGGGGTAACGGAAGCGCAGGAGCCAAGAAGGGCGAGCCCCGGTCCTCGTCCGAGGACGATGAATCGAAGGAGTCGACCTGCAGCCCGACTCCGGACAGCACCGCTTCTCTTCCCAGCTCAGGAAACATGGGGAGCCCTGGGAGCAGCCTGAGCCCCAGCCCGGTCTCCGTGTCAACAGCGGGGGTGGGTTTTGTGAACACCTCCTCGGCAGTCCCCCAGGGCCTCAAATCCCCAGGCTGGCCTAGCATGGGCTCCGCAAGCAGCGGGGGGGTGAACCCCACTGGAGTCCAAGGCTCTGACCTTTTGAAGGCCTGGCAGCCCTCGGACAGCATGGCGGGCCCCTTTGCTGGCGTGCTGTCCACTTTCCATCGGAAGCCCAACACTCTCAAGACAAACCTCTTCTAGAACTCTGCAGAACTCCTTAGTGAGCTGGACTCCTTTAATTTATTTCACCCGGACAGTCACAGAGGGGGAGAATGCGTGTCCGAAATAACCAAACAGTACTACCACCCCGTCTCCTCCAACTGTTATTGCCACAAAAGTGTTTGTAGTTTAGGATACAGGTCGAGAAAAGCCACGGACAGTTCTAGAACTGGACCCCTTGGTGTTTGTTTTTTTTTTGTCTCTTATAAGCTGCAGTTTGTCAAGGAAATGCTGGTTCAGGCTCCTTGTATTTCAGTGTGATCCTAGAATTTCTGTCCTTCTGCCTGTGGGGATGGAAGAGACTTATTGGGAACTACTTGGGTCTGCATTATATTAATTCCTGCCGAGTTTGAAATGAACAAACAAAAGAAATGAGGCCCCTAGAATTCTCTGAAAGTGAAAAAAAAAACTGTCCACTGTTAATCAGTAAGCACAGCTCCCCTTCAACATATTCTGGTCAAAGATTTAAATTATGTCAGGCATTGTTTTAGGGAATTTTTATTTCTTTTATTTAACTATTTATGTTTGTAACATTTATTCAGTCCTGTTCTCTGAAACAAGAGAAAGCAATTATTTTTCTCACATACTCAGCATTTGTTTGAATCCTTACCTTTCATACACTGTACTTTCTAGTGATTCATAGATTCACTCTGTGTTACCAATAACTTGCAGGTGGGGTTATGTGCTTTCTAGTGATCAGGACACTGTAAATCCTAAAGCAATAATCCAAAACAATATCTGAAAGAGGAAAAATGGCAATTACTGATTCTTGCTCCACTAGCACTGACAGCAGTGGAGTCCTCAAGAACAGCACATTTAGTCTTCTATAAAACTGTAATGTGGGAGAGAACTCGGTTTCCTTAGTTTTAATTTAATAAATTATGTGACCCAATAACATTAAAAAAATAAGAGCAGAATAATTTATTGAACAAAACCATATGTGACCTTTAGTTAGTCATATCTTTTTTAATATAGTTATAAAATATTGTAACTTAAATATTTGTAAATAGAATATAAATATTAGATAGTGAGGTTTTAAGTTGCAGTAACAATTCTGACATTCCAAAGACAATTTATATAAGCTTGCAGTTTGACAGAAGGCTTTTTTTCCTTGGCTCTCCAATTTAGTCCTTTAATGAGTAACCTTTCCAAACAATATAATGCTTCCTGTACTCTGTTGACAGAGCATCTTGTATTTAACTCTTTGTGAAAGTAATGATTAACACTACTAGTGTTCTATTGGAAGTGACTGGTGAGAAGGCAAGCAATTCTCATCTTTTTCTCACGGCCAAAATTTTCTTATGGTGACTGTTGTATGTCGTCAAGGTGACTTTGATGGTACTTTCCTAATCTGGTATTCCCAAAATTAAATACACAGGGCTCAAATGGACATTTTACTCCAGCAGATCACCTTTACACGTTGACAGCTAAGGTCACTGGGAGGAAAGACAAGTAAGCCAGGGGGAAAAAATCAACTCTTAAAACTCAGCAATTAAAACTACTGTTTTGGGTGATGTCATTTAGATGTCGGACACATGTTATTAACGTCCAAGTACTTTGTGCTTTCAAAGTTTTTCCAAATGTGCAGTACCAAGAGAAGAATGATATAGAGGCGCGTGTCATCTTGGCCAAAGTGCCTAAACGAAGGCCAGGCTTGAGGACTGAAGGCTGTTCCTTAAAACGGTTTCAACTTCATCAACATCTAAGCTTTTCAAGTGACTGGGGGGGAAAAAAGTCTTCTGAAGAGAAAACTGGAAATGTAGGTGATATAAGATTTGCTTTCTATTGCTGGATGTAAATGCTTTTCAGTTACAATGTCTAGAACCAGGGACAGTCAGGGCTGAAGGACGAGACTCTGTTTGGTGAAAATGCACTGCCATCGGCGCTCCTTCATTCTGCATAAAGGATGGATGTTGCTTTGCGCTGAATTTGAGGTGTTTCTGACTGTACTGTGGTTTACATTTGTTTAAAGAAGAGTCTATATTAGTAGAAGATGGTAGACTTTAAACACTGTATAGCTGCTAATAAGACCCAGAACTCAAAATCCTACTTGCTTAAACATTGTATATTTTTTCTAATGTGTGATAAATGTTACATTATCATAAAATATTAAATACTCTTCCCTTTCTTTGGTGGTCATAATATTTAGATTTTTTTTAACTGCAAAATACACAATCCTGATCAAACAACTACGTGATTACTAACGTACCAACTTAAACCCCACACAGTCTGTCGAATACTGATTCATAAACCATTTTCAGCAGTTAAATGTTAAAACTTAGTTTTATTGGTTGAAAAAGGAGTGCTTACAGTCAACCCAAAATATTAATTTAAGAAGACGAGATCTCTAAGTTAGCAAATACAAACATTTTCAACACAGCCAAAATAAGGTCTGAAATGTATTTAAAAGTTTAGAAATTAGAACTTTAAATTAAGACAAAAAAAGATAGTTGCTTCTATATAACAGCCACATTTATGAAGAGAAAAAAACACTTGGAAGTTGGAGGCTTTAAAAAAAGGTAGCTATTGCGGTGGTTGATTTCCAATTTCTGGAAATGCCTATTGTACAGAATGCAAAACAGATCTTTTGTTACTACATGTTATATTTGGTAAAGTAACATACTAGACCCAACAAAATACTCAGACAGCTGTGTTTTCACGAACATCATCACATTTACAAAGCAACAGACATTGGCAGAAGTATGACAAGGAAAAAGAAAAGGCAGAAAAACTGTGATGCATAGATTCTGTACTCAAATAGTAACTGGAGAATTCAGCCTTGGTTTTTACTCTTCACTCTTTTTCCATTAAAATGAATGAAAACTATGTACAAGACCATCAGGAACTAAAATATAAAACATCCAAGGCGTGGAAGAATTGCAAAGGTAGAATGAAAATGTAAATGCCCTCAGAACTTTATCACAAACACAAAACACAAGCCAATTTAACTTGGCGAATACGACACTGCTTTGAAGAGCGAATCAGTAAGGACGGTTATTTAGTGTGAGGTATCAATGGTCTCAATCGTTTTCCTATTGTAGATACAAGACAAGTTTAAAAAGGGCTGTCTCTTTACACGACTCGCAACAAAGCAGTCATGTTAATGAAGGGAGCTGGCAGTGTCACAAAGCATCTGCTCATGGAGGTCAGACATGGAGAGCATCTGAGACTAGAATCCTAGCAAAGAGAAGCCTGGTACAAAAATTTCAGTGAGACCCATGCAGTTCTGCAGCCTTCCAATGGTCATGCCATCAAAGATCCCTGTTTAACTGCCCCAAATACTGATCACGTCAGTCATTAAGGAAATTCTGTCATGGATATGGCCTGTCACACAGCTTCATTGTAAGGACTTGAAATGGCTTTCAGATACAACCTTTTGAAAGGCACATAAATGTAATAATTTCAGTATTCACCAACTGAGAAAGGAAAACACATGTAAGGTCTGCTGAGGTGAGACTTCCACCAGTACAGAAATTTCAGATCTCAATAGATGGCTCATTTGTGAACAACGTTCTAAACACATGGAACAAAATACAGTCTACACCTTCTTGTTTTCATTTAAATGTACTTTGTACAGTGCTCCTATTTTATAAAACAGCAGCATAGAGAATTAGAGACAAGGGAGGTAAGGCTTAAGAATGAATATTTCCAGTGTGTCTCCTGACAAGAAGAGAACTTGATAAAGGTGTGCAGAAAATAGACAGGTGCTGGTACCAGTCATCTGAGAACTCAAACAATACAGTACAAGAGAAAAAAAAGCCATGGGACACCAGGAGACCTCCAGGAGGTTTAGAGGTATTAACGCTTTGCTGCTTTTCTCCCAGTGAGGCAGTCTCATTTTCTGCCATTTGCATTTATTCTTTACTGCATTGATAAGTGTGTGGTAAATACACAAACAACCTTTCTGCTACCAATTAAGAAATGAAAAGGTTTTATTCGGATCACAGATAACATTAGGGAAATCTGGAACTTTTAAATGTATCTCTTTGTACAGTACATGCACATCACTAATATAGTTAACCACTAAACAAAAACAACGAATTCTTTAAGAAAGTCAGATACGTCACTCATTTTTGGCAATTCCTGACCAATTCTCTGGAGACCTTGTAACCAGTCTCTAACTGCACAACCCAGATATGACGAGATATGGGGCGAGATATGACCCAGAGGTGAAACTGAGAAAAATGAAGTTCTTTGATAGACCACAATATAAAAATAAAAAGGATAGTGTTTGAAATGCTGAACCTACTGTCATGCTTTCTAATTACATCATTATTAGCCGTGTTGTAGATTTCCCTTTACCGAATAATGTATTCAAACATTTCAATCCTGCTTTGGAGATGTATCAAGATTTTCCCTCTAGATCACAGCTATGGATTTTAAATCTAGCAGCTCCCTCTAGTGGAAACACTTAGAATGTTTTTTTTTTACTACAAGCCTGAGAGAGCCTGTAGTTCTCCCTGGTTACATGTAGATACTTACCTATTGTGTACTGGGATATCATGGTGCAATTATCAGCCCATGCATTAACCTCGCTCAATATAGTTTTCGACAACAGCAGAACCAGGAGAATAAAGACCTACAATCTGAAGCCCATAAAGCAAAGACTGTCCAAATCTTGTCAATCTATTTGGCACCCTAAGCATATTACAACTGTTCCCATTGATTGTAAAGCTGCAGATAATCAAACGTCCCCGTCTGTCCTCTGCGTATCTTCAAAATATAAGTAGTTACTTGTGAGCTATTGGAGTTACATCATTCTAATCCTTAAAACAGTTAAATCTGACACAGTGATACTCGGTCACACAGTATCGTGTTTTAGATTCAGCACCCTATATTTGGGTTAGGTAGGTAGACTAGATCAGCGGGCACAAGATATCAGCCCAATGTATTCTAGTCGGGCGTTCTGCGATGTCCCAGATTCTGTGAGACAAACGACATACGCTGGGTAAGGACAGAAGGACAGAAGACATAAGGTGGCCTTCAATCAGCGGATTTTGCCCATTCAGCTTTCAGACAGGCCAGGATCAGGTCACCTGAGATTCAGTCTCACATCTCCCACACATGGAAAGTAACAAAGCAGGAGAGCTAACGCTACTCGGGTTGCAAGAAAACTCAAGGTGTGTCACTGGTGCTAATTTGGTTTAAAATCTTTCCCTTTCCCACAAAACAGGAAAATAATACAGAGATGGTCTGTCTTCTGCATTTGGTACAGTTCTCTGAAACAGAGGCTGATTTTATTACCTTAAAGAAGTCCTGATAAGATGGTTTTTAAACCCCCCAGAAAATATGAAGAGGGGGTGCATGTAGTGGTGTTGGATTAAAGGGCACATTTTAAATAAAGGTCATATTAATAACAACGTTTTAGGGACATAGATTTAAAAAAAGGTTTTCTCAATATTAACATTGTTCATGAAAAGAACTACAGTGCAATTCCTGGGCAGAAGGCCCAGTGCTGACAGGACTATTTCTGCTGCTGCTTCAGGCTCTCCAGCAGGATCTTCTTATGGGCGGGGTCGAGAACTCCCGCCTCCTCCAAGTCCTCCTCCGTGATGTCACTGCCAAGAAACGGGATTGGATGATGAGCCATCAGTTTTGTCCTTCCCCTTAATTAACCAACAAGGATGGTGTGAAGGGTAACCAAGGAGAGTGGATTAGGGCCAGGCTAAAATCACAATCACAGATAACTTACACCACTTCTTCCTAGAAATGAAACAGCATCACGGATGCCCACGTGCTTTATTTGTGCTTTTCAGGATGAAATTCAAAAGACTGTTTTTTTTACCATTTATCCTGAAATTGTGGTACACTGTCCCCATTTTTCTGCATAGCGAGAAGGGTGGAGGGCCTGCAAGCTGACTCTCTTAAACCTTCACTGCACACCAGTCCTCGGAGTCCAGGGGCGTGACACCGAACGGCCACTGTGGCATCTCACCTGAGGAACTCCAGGTCGTCCCAGCCGTTGTGCAGCAGCCCTTCCTCGTAGCGCTCCAGGCCCAGCCTCTGCAGCCACTCGCCCACGCTGGACTCCACGGAGAGACTGGAGCTGCTGCTGCCCCCCTGCCAGCAACCCTGAGCACAGCGAGGGCCTTTCAGTTTTCACTCTCTGTTTCCCCAGCTGCAGACAGCACCCCGGGTTCCGCACTGAACCCAGGGCCCTGGTGCCGCGAGGCAGCAGGGCTCACCACTGCATCACCGTGCTGCCGCCTTCAAACCGCAATCAACCCCAAGCATGCTGGGGTAACACCCCTAACCCCAAGTGTATTAGGTTCAACGATATGGCTTAGTAGTTTGTTTCAGAAGTTATCTCCTGTTTTGAATTGACTCCCCCCTAGTTCTGAAGACTATATGGGTTTTGAATGTTTCCTGCACGTCTTCCAAAATTTCTGCATTGCAGATTCAGAACGCATGCATGTGTGTGGCTAGCTTACGCCATGATTATAAAGGATAGCAGGTCTCTTGTTTCGCAAGTGTCAAAAACAAACCATAGAACAGAACAAATGTTCTGGCCAATGTGTGAACAGATCAACAGCATCAAAGCAACAAATGCAATGCCCCATGCCTGGCTGACCAGAGAGAAATGGATCGTGAATGGTGGTATATTATACTCTTGAGAAATAGCAAATGTTATTCCATTGGCTTGACAACAGTGCTATGCCAATCGATATCCATCCGCTTAGCCCTCATCCCTCACACAGCCCTTACCTCCTCAGGAAGGTCCTCGGCGATGCTCTCATGGATAGATCGGGGCGGGAAGGTTCGGCAGGAGTCCGGCAGCCCCATACCCCGGAGAGGAGGACCCACGGCCTTGTGTGGGACAGGAGGGTTGCGATCTCGACCAGGCTGGTACTCCACCTCGCTCAGAGTCTTGGCCATCTGGAGGACAGAGCAGGACTGGTCGTCCAAGCCACTAGCCCCCCCTCCTCTTCTGAATGGGGCGCTGGCCAGGGAGGGAGAGGGGTCCAGGCCGAAAGTACTCACTGAGCCACTGGGGACTGCAGGGGGGTACCCGGGGGAGTGCAAAGGCTTAGTGTGAGCTGGAATCTTAATGTCCGCCAAGTCTGGATAGAGGTTTCTCGTCTTGATGTCCTTGCTTGATGCGTAGAAAGGATTCTCCGTCATTTCCACGGCGCCTTTCGGGAGAGGTGGGGGTGGGAAGTCTGGTGGAGGCCGATTCAGCGTGCCACCGAGTGCCCCGTGAGTCCCATCTTCCTCCGAGGACCCCTCTTCACTTACAGGGCGGGGGGGTCGTCCAGATGTCTGCCTGCGCGGCTGGATTGATCCACCACAGGGGGGCTTAACCTTGCCTGAGGTGGCTCCTTTGGAGCCGGTGGGTGGAAGGGCAGAGCCAGGTGTCAGCTCCGGCGATAGAGCAGCTGATTGATTGGGCACACCTTCCAGGATGTAGTAAGCAGGGTTATTATAGCTGTTCCTACTGTTGGAAGGGTCTGCTTCAACAGAGTCCTGCTTTGTCCTGAAATTCAACAAGGTCAAACGAAAGAGCTGGTCATGACGACAACCACCCAATCGACAGAAATTTAAACTGTCTGGCCTTTCAGAGTTAAAAACAAAAGGTTCGAAATTCTTACACAGGATAAGTTTGAAACTTTGATCTTGGAATGAACGATGCTATTTAGCTTTTAATTAAGCAGTTGCAATAAGTGCTATACTGGAACACCATTTGGTTGCTTTCCATTCTTACAACAGCTAGTGTCTAATCTTGGTCATGCAACAGCCTCATGTACAATGAATTACAACACAGACATGAATAGGGGACACTAGGAAGCAAGGCTGTCCACAGACCTCGTCTGTGTGGCCTCCTCTTTGGGGGTGGAGGGTAGGGGGAAACTGGGACGTCCTGCTGCGTGAGAGGGGTTCCTCTCATTCTCCTCATTCACCTTCCCCAGCGGCTCGTTCGGCTGGTGTTTGCGCACTGACTGTCTGCAACAGGACAAGCAGGGGCTGAGAAAGGGCTCTCCATCCCTGCCAGGTCCCCGACTTGGGGGCAGTACATGTTTCCAGCTCTAATTTTCATCATCTTCTGTATTAGGAGCTTTCCCTTTTACATTCATTGAGGTGGGAAGTGATCATCAGAGATGTAACCCACTGTCTCCATCACAGCCAGGGATTAAGATAAAAGACAAAGCCTTTCACAGTTATGAAGGCAGCACGTGAAAGGCACTGAGTGCAGTGAAAGGGGGTTTCAGAATTAAATTATGAATTATCATCAGGTACCGAGAGCTCCCTGTCCCACTATTCCTTCCCACAAAAAAACAGAAATGAAAGCCTGTTGCTCCCAGTTTCTTTATGCTTTCACTCCAGGTCAATAAAGTTGGGATCCAGATCCTGCACACCTTTCTTTTCCAATACATGCAAGTTCCTGGCTCACCAAATCTAAATATTAACTGGACTCACTGAAACATAAAGAGATCATCTTAATCACAAACATGATAGCACTTCAGCTGAATAACAGCATGTTTGATGAAGCAGAGGGCTAAGACTCACTTGACTAATCTGATGCTCTTACGCTGACCAAACCTGACAAAACCAGCATATCTGACACAAGAGATGACTGTGTATGTTATGTTTTTTATTGGTGATAAAGACCAGAAAAGATCAGATTTAGAGAGATGCCTACTTCACATAATCATGACTTCCCCGGGAACTGGACTGCTTGCCCTTCAGACCTCCTGTTTCGTCTTTATCAACACTGATCCACTCTGTAGAAATAAAGCACAGTGCTAGTCAGCCTGACTTTCTGGGTCAGACAGCAGTTTTACTAATTTAATTAGGGAATGTATTAAGCATTACCAGAATTAATATTAATAATGATAAGGTATTTCAATAAATAAAATCACAGTTAATAATTAGATCAGCAGCTCCCAGCGTGATCCTTATGAAAGAAAAATGTAATGAGGAACCTAATTTAAGGCTATAATTGTTATTGCGTCAACTTAATATCCTGTCTTTGAAGTCAGCAAAACAGTACCTGCCATCGCAGTAATTTAAATATAAAATACATACATTTGTGCACATATACTGCTGTGCTTCACAAATGTATTTATTGAGCAAATGCTTACAAAATGCAGACATTTCTTTACCATGTTAGAATTTGTATATAACAGAGTATAAATTGTACTTTCTGAAAAGTGATCACTGAATTAGTTGGTCTGCAGGAAACAATTAGGTAAAAACGAAAGTAGAGAAGCAAAATGTTCATGCTACAAAGTGTTAAAATCAAAGAATGTTCTTTTCACATAGTACAGTAATACAGCCTTAATATTACTACAGTACAGTATTAGTACTGTAATACAATACCTGAGAGCAATACCATATAATTATCATTACCCTTTAATATTAATATTGCAAGCTGCTGTGAAGGTTTTATGGCTTCTTCTGGGTGTTGTTTTACTATATTAAATAATTCTTAGGCATTTGTATTATTTTACATTACTTTAAGGAATATTGGAATATATGATATAGCACTGTTAACTGTATTGTACATTATAGTTAATATGACGTGCATTTGAAACAGATGGCCAGTTCTAGTACTGTGTTGCTACAAACTCTTTTGTGACACCCAAGGTCTTCATTACTCCCAATATATTTAAAATCACCCCAGTCATCTGGCACTTCAGGAGAATGGCTAGGCAGCAGTATGGAGTGTTGGTTAAGGCTCTGGTCTCAGAACTGGTAATAGGTTCAAATCCTTCTGTTGTTCACTGAAGTAAGGTACTTCACTCCCAGCTGCACCAGGAAAATTCCCTGCTGTACGAGTAGTTCAAATATAAGTCACTTTGGGGGGGAATCAATTCTCAAGTTAATAAATCAAATAAATTAATCGCTGTTTTATTGGAAGCCTTTTTCTCTTGAAACATCCATGTTGACTTGAGAGCTTCTCTTTCTCCTGACCCTTCATGCGGTTAAAGCAAAGCCAGCCTTACCGTACAGTCGCTCTCTGGTGCCCACCCTCTCCGATGGCACGCGCACCCTCATCGAGCCACGGATGTTGCCCGTCTCCTCCCCCCGGTGAGAGAGGTAGGTGTGGAACTGCTGCGCCGTGCTGCCGATCATAGACTTCAGAGCGATCACACACTCCCCTGCAAATCAGAGCACAAAGCATCACCGCACAGCTCGGCTCAGCTCGGCTCATCGTTTCCACACTCTTCGCTCTACGTAGAGAAACATGCCAAACGCATTCCACAGCATTGTGTAAGCACCTTAGATTAAAACAGATTTCAAGCTATCTTCCCTTTTCAGCACAGTTGCAACATATCTTGCAGTCATTGCTCACTTTTTCAAAACTCTTTTCAGAGCATCTGAGTTCTTTTCCTGTCCTTCACCTGCCATTGATATAATAACAAAAATAATGGGCACCTTGTGACATCTGCTGTTTGAGATGTGGCATTACAGAATGTACGTATGAAGAACTTTTACCACCACCATGTCAATCAGAGACCATACTATGCAATGCGCTACTAAGGGGACTTCATAAGAAAAAAAAAAATGTACCATAAGATTCGTATCCATCAAGCGATTTGACAGTTAGCAGCAGATGCTGGTCCTGCAGGTATTCAATTTCCGAAAGGATTGGCTTCAGCTGGAGAGAAACACTCAGGTCAGACAGATAATGGCAATGCACAGTTCTCTACACTGATGGAACAGGGCAGAATGCAGCAAGCCCCACAGATAATCACTAAAAACAAAAACAACCAGAGAGATTCAAACCTGTTTCTTCCAGCTACTCATGCTATATTTCTCTACATCCACCAATTTTGTTCTATACTGAACACCATTATCAAATTATTTTGCCAGTGTACAATGCCAAGTTTTAAAATCTCAGCATTAAGAAACCACAAATTGGTAAAAGTACTCCAAAGTCAGGCTGCTCAGCAGGGCCCTGCAGGTTCATGTTAAGACAAAAAGCCACATACCCTTAACATCAGTACCCATGGCACCTTTCAGATGCAGTTCCACTGCATCAGTCTTTCTTTGTCAAAACTACAAAACGCTATGTGATGGGATACACCACAAACCTGTACTACCGTTTACTCACCAGAACAGAACACGGAGAGAAAAAATGAACCTTTATATCACAAAGCCTCTCTAATTCCTTAGCCTTTTACACTCGGCCACAAATACTGACAACGGCTTTCCTGAGGCAGGTGTTTTATCTAGTGAGTAGCTTAGCACCAAATGGCCAGACCACAGCCTTTCTATGAAGAGCAGAGTCCAGAGGTCAAGTCTCTGCTGTGGGGTGTGGTCTTGCGCAGAAGCCGGCGCCTTACCGTCGTCAGCTGCTTCGACGACCAGCCCACTCGCAGGAAGTTCACGTTGTCGCTGCTTTGAGTGTCGTTCTCGTAGCTCTTCTTAAACTCTGCAAGGGGGGGCGGGTGATAAAATTAGGGAAACCTGAAGGACACAAAGGACATAAAAAAACCCCAACACACCTTGAACAACCATTGTCCATCCACCTCATCCCAATCCTGCATCCTCCGAAGAGAATTCAATCAGTTCAATCTAATTAAGCCCCAGCTCATATCTCATTATAGGACATACCCTCCAGGCAGGTGGAGTAGAATTCAATGAAGAACTTGGTGCGGCTAGCGGTCTTCACGATGGCTTCAATGTTCTCAAACTCAATATAGGCCTGCTCTGACGATTTGGGCAGCCCTGCCATTGACAAGCAGCAGGCACAGCGGAAAACGACACCAAATGAAAGTGAGATTTTAGCATTATTTCATGATGGGAGGTTCTTACTTTTATTTAATTTTGTGAATAAAACAACTACAAGAAAATTAATTTATTAAATTAATGGGTTATTAAGATGTCAAAACATGCAAAATAAAAAAATGAATCATAACCATCTTAACTCTGATAACTGAAGCTGAGGAGTAGATGTTCTAAGCTCTATTTGCATTACAATTACACATAAGAGAACTAATGCTGAAACTGCAATCAATACATTTATTTTTTTAGGTCCTGACATTTTCTAACTGTGAACTTTTAGGATCACCCACCTTTCTTAGAGACAAACTGAGAGGTCACGCCCACCTCAAATGTGGCAAACACTGGAGAATGATCACTCGTTACGATCTCATCTGTACAACCTGGAGTGAATGCAGAAACAGGGTTCATGCAGAAAAAAAGGAAATTTACAATACCAAAGAATATCAATATTATCAACAGTGAATAAACAAAGCCCAGTTTGATTAAAAAAGCTGGGACATGTGTCAAAATTCTGTCAATAATGTAAGCTTCCCTCTGCAAAAAAATGAAATCAAAACGTGTGCAAAAACTTCGGACAATATTTACACACATACCATAGGAGTTGCACACGATATGAGTTTCAGGGTAGGACTTCCACAGAATTCGGTCGCACCAGGAAGGAACATTTGTCCGCATCTAAAACCCACAAAAACACCAACGTATATATTGCAGTCTGTATAATCATGTCTTTTTATTAAAACCACATCCTTTAAGGCAACACCAGAATGAGTCTGCAGCTCAGAGGAAAGCAAAATGATGACCCGATTTTCTTGCTCACATCATTCAGTGCTATAGCAACTTACAGGAAGACCATTTGCAACTACCAGAAACAGAACAGTTAACGTGAACTTTGATCCCCATTTTCTTTGCTTTGTTTTGTAAGAACTGGTACCTTTTTCATCTTCAGTCAGGCTCTTGAACACTAGTGTCCACACCAGTGGACACAAGTTGTCTAAGCTTTGGCGGTATTTTCAGTTTATCAGCATTTTATGCCTTTGTAAATGTATGACATGTTTTCAGTTAAAATCAACAATTAAATCACATACTGTATTTGATTTATTGTGGACCCTGTGACCTTAGGGTAATGAAGGTGGGACTTCCCATCAGTGTATCCAATTCTGCCACCTATAACTAGGTGGGACTCTCTAAAGCGAACATGGAATAAAGGAAAATAAGAGGGGGTGGCTGTACATGCTCCTTTCAATGAAGCATCACCACCTCCTATCAGCCACCCTGAACAACGTTAACACAAGGTGCACATCTTACCCCTGTTGCTTTCTGTTTCTGCCACACATAGGTGTCCCGGGAGCCCCTCTCATAGCGGTAGGTAGGGGGATATGATATCTCATCTTCAGCTGAAAGGGCAGAAAGAAAGACTCTTTACGGTGTAGCAGCTAAGGGCTGTACTATATAACTACACTTCTGCATTCCCTTGAGGTTCTGCACTGTACAGGGTCTAACACAAGAATATCAAACATTGGACTCCAACAAATGGGGCAAAAACACATAGAATAAATGTATATTAGACTACACACAGATATCTGCCCACTATAAGACACGCCCACCCAGAGCCAGCCCTGAAAGCACAGGTTACAGGGCAGGACAGAGAGCAGGTGAGTGTTCTTGCTCTACACAAGACACCAGTCCTGTGAGGGGCCATGGAGGAAGGGACAACTTCGAATAGCCAATCCAAACCCAGCCTGCTTGTCTCTGAGCAGTGGGAGGAACTCTGAGCACCTATAGAAGACGCACGCAAACAAGGGAAAAACCTGCAAAGAGTCAAATACGGGACCCAAGAGCTGGGAAGTAACAGCACTAACCATATAAATATACATATAAAGTACACACACACATCAACATGAACACACCAAATCGCAGGAACACTTTGTTCTTCTCTCTCTCCAGGTTCAGCTGATCTACTTTTAGCAAGGGATCAAACTCCTTCCTGTTGATGTAATTCAAGATTTCCTGTGAAAACAATATATACATATTATTAATGAGAATAACAGGAGCTGCATACTCTCCTCAGTATCACCAACTACGCAAGTTAGCAGCTGGTAGGTATGCTTTTTAATGTTTGGCTGGAATACCCTCAGGTACATATTAAATTTGTTTTGGAAGAACTGAGCCAGAGAATAAAAACTGTTCTGCTGAACACACATTGTCAGGACATTTACTTCTTCTTCTTCTTTTTCTTTTTCACAGCCTTAGTCCCAGACTGTCCTGGGGTCAGCTGCTTTGGTTGCTCTTCTCCACTTGTCTCTGCCGA